ATATATATGTATATATATATATATATATATATATACNCAGCCGGCATTTCAACGTTGATTCAACGTTGAATCACCGTTGAAATGCCGGCTGGGTATATATATATATATATATATATATATATATATATGGCAAAATATACATAGTTATTTAACCTGTTAACAAACGTTCGGCAGTGCCTCTCTTTGCCTCCCTAACCAATCACCTAGAACTACCTTCTCTCGAACCCACCCTCCCTCACTTCCTCTATTTCCTTGCTTCCCATTAACAATCCTTACAACCCTCTCTTCCACTCCTACTGTAGATTGAATTGGGGGGGTCCTAATCACTCTAAAAAGTACCCCTACTTTGAGGGCTCTATTTAAACAATAGGTGCAAAGTCTTAAGCGCATGGCACAAAAGCATTAAGGCCATGTCCAAATCCATTTTTGCTATTTTAAGGATGGAAAAATACACTCTGTGCCCCGACACATGGTCTAACAGGGTTGTGCTTATTCTCTTAATGAGTTATAGGTGTGTTTTGAGCATAATGTGTGTTAAATTAATTAGTTCATCTCACATTCCCTTTAAGAGTCAGTTGCGTCACGCCATGGTGTATTTGCTATATACATAGTCAAATTTGTGAGTAAACTGAACGCTGCACTAGTGAGAAAAAAGTTAAACAGAGCATCTGCAGCACGAGGGTAAAGAACGAGCCTCCTCCATTTGGCCACTTTACTTTCTCTTTACTTTACTTTTACTCTTTACTCCTTTACTTTCATAGATTAGGAAACAGTGTTGTACTCACTCCACTGAAGACATCCATTAACCTACATATTTAATTTCATTTGTTTAAAAACTGTTTTTAAATTCAGTTCTATTTTCCAGAAAACGAATAAATTAACAATAATAGCTAAGAGTTATATCCAAATACACATCATATTCTTTAAAAAAAATAATAAAATCACATTTCTGAACTTTGGACCAACCTTTAGCTGGTCGATGGCGCAATCTATTTCAGTTCTTCAAAATAGCAACACGCCAACAATGCACCTTAACAGATCTTTTTAGACCAGAACACCCATGAGTCCACAAAGTGGTGCAAATGGATTTGCTATTTAAACAACGTGATGCATAACAGGAAAATTAAAGTTGCACTGGTCTGAAAAAAGCAACAAATCACGTCAAACATGTCTTGCATCTTATTGCGAAGGATGTATAATAGTCTCTGGGTATCATCGTAGGACTCCCAATCAACCTACCTACCTGTTCACTATTTATCCTCCAACTTCTGTTCCCCTTCATCCCATTGTTCCCTTCCCACCCCTTTACATCCCTACATCCCTACACTAAAGTCTAGCTCAAAGTGTGGCATGGTCCATGCTGCTAAAAACTATTTTAATAATAGTAACAATTGTGTGTTTATTGGCTAACCTAACTTGCCTAAGTAACCTAATTAACCTAGTTAAACATTTAAATTGCACTTTAAGACAAAAGAAATTGGTTATAAGATTTATTACGCATAAAAATGTGTTGAAATAAAAACCCTTTAAATATCCTTTAAACTCCATTAAACATAATTTGGGAAATAATTTTAAAATGAATGAAAATCTCATAGGAGGGCTAATAATTCTGACTTTAACACCCTACTTACTTCAAAGCACTTACTTTTAATTTTGGTTGAATTATCTGCTTTCCTGTTGGTCATGATGGCTGTGTTTGTGTGTTTGTCGTTGGTCTCTGTGTCCTCTGTCAGGTCTTCAAGAGAGACGGGCAGTGGTGAGAAGCTGGAGCTCAACATGACCAACATCAGTGCGGACGTGCTGGAGCTGCTGCTTGAGTTCGTCTACACTGGCTCTCTGGTCATCCACTCGGCCAACGCCAAAACCCTGCTGGAGGCCGCAAACAAGTTCCAGTTTAACACCTTCTGCAAAGTCTGCGTGTCTTTCTTAGGTATGCATCTACAAAGATCCCAACATCCGATCATGTAGAAAATGTACGTTTGTCTCTTTTTTTTTTTTTTTTTTTTTTGCAGGACGATGTGTTCTTTGATTTGTGTAAAGGTCAGAGAACAATTGCATTAAAATGTCAGAGTCAATGTCACGGTCTCATCCGGAACCGATTAGACCAATCAATACTAAATATGGAGGTGAATCGGCTGGCATGTAGACGCCCTATGCAATGAAAGGTTGGCAGGAGATGAAGAAAAATTTAGAGCATAAAAGCAAGATTTGCAGTGCAATATTTATCATAATGAGAAACTTTGGTGACACTTTACTTGAAGGGGTGTTCATAAAACTTTTATAATCAAGACATGATATGTCATAAATATGTATTTAAGATTTTGTGCATGCTTATGACAACTCTTTAGGCTCATTTTACAGCTTCCCAAGAGTTGAGTTTTAACACTTTTAAATCCATTCAGACAGTTTTAGGGTCAGACGAGAGCACTTTTAGCTTAGCTTAGCATAGATTATTAAATCTGATTAGACCATTAGCATCTTGCTCAAATTTTTTTTTATAATTTTCCTTTTCAAAGCTTGACTCTTCGTGTACCTGATACAAATTATGTGGACACCCTATGCAATGAAAGGTTGGCAGGAGATGAAGACAAATTTGACTTGAAGGGGTGTTCATAAAATGTTTATAATCATGACATGATATGTCATGAATATGAATAGGATTTAATATATGCTTATGACAACTCTTTAGGCTCATTTTGCAGCTTTGTTTTTGGATTTTTGAATCCATTCAGGCAGTTTTTGTGTCAAACGGGAGCACTTTTGGCTTAGCTTTATATAGATCATTGAATCGGATTAGACCATTAGCATCTCGCTATTATCTTTTGCTAATTTTCATATTCAAACCCATTAGCCCATAGCCTGACAGTGGTTTTCCCCACAGTCCAAAGACATGTGGTACAGGTGAATTGAGTAGGCGAAATTGTCCGTAGTGTATGAGTGTGTGTGTGAATGTGTGTGTGTGGATGTTTCCCAGAGATGGGTTGCGGCTGGAAGGGCATCCGCTGCGTAAAAACTTGCTGGATAAGTTGGCGGTTCATTCCGCTGTGGCGATCCCAGATTAATAAAGGGACTAAGCCGACAAGAAAATGAAAAAAATAAATGAATGTTTTAGACAACATAGCTTGTTAGCAAGACAGCATAACTTGTCATAAATCTGTCATAAACATGATTGCTTTGAGGCTATTATACAGTAATTGTGTTATGAAACCGAATCATTTCATGAGCACCAAATCAGTGAATTATGTGACTCTAAAGTCTAAAAGTTCTGCTTTTAATAAAAGGAAAGTTATGTAAGAGAATATACAGTTCATTTCATTGTATAATAAAACACTAATATATTAATAGTTGGTGTCCAGTCCAAGGTTTTATTTAATAAATTTAGGAAATGTAGTCATGGTGAGAGTAAGAGACATAAAAATACAGTATTTTCTTTTAACCTCAAACATTTTAAGCCCTTGGTCGCCCACTGAAGCTAAGCAGGGCTGCACCCGGTCAGTACCTGGATGGGACACCACATGGGAAAGCTATAGGTTGCTGCCGCAAGTGGTGTAAGTGAGACCAGCTGGTCCTAATGCCCCAATATATTGATGGGGTCTCTATACTGCTCAGTGAGACATTAAACCGAGGTCCTGAGGATTGTTAAAAATCCCTGGACATTCTTTGAAAAATAGAAGGGGTTTAACCCCTGACTTGATTTGCCCACTGGCCTCTGTCCATCATGGCTTCCTAACCATCCCCATATCAAAAAATGTGTAAATCTCCTTGAGTGTCCAGAAAAGTGCTATATATATATATATATATATATATATATATATATATATATATATATATATCTCACACACACACACACATATATATATATATATATATATATATAGATATAGAGAG